TATTCCCAATAAAGGCTGTATCCATACTCAGAAGTATTTTCAGTCTTACAATAATTTTCTGTAGTGATACAGGATTTTTCTCACTAGGGAAAATTCTTTTTGAGCAATGAATTCTCTTTATCTTTGTAGGACCAGTCTTGACACATACTAAGTGATAAATGCCCTTTTTGAGTCATACACTGATTTTTATTCATGTTGCCCTTCATTCAACACAAAGATTATACAAAAGTTGTATTTCTATAGCTACAAAGCATATTAGAGATAAAATCCAAGTAGAAAAACAAAGCCTCCTAAAGACACCGTTAATTATATCAACTATTGATAATAGACATCTAGTCTGGGAAAAGATAAAGGACTGATATTATAAATCATTCATTTACATTTTAAAAATTTCATGTGAATATATATGTGAAACATAAGGTTCATCATGTTGGCCAGATTTAAGTAGGCAGTTCAGTGGTATTAAGTACACCAGTGATCTTAAGCTATCAGAGCCTCAAGTTTTAACAAATTTTTTTCTCACCCCAAAGGGCATCTCTATAATCACTAAGAGATAACTCTCTATTACTCCCATCCTTATGCCACTAAATATACTTTCCATCTATACATTTATCTTATGTAGATATTTCATATTAGTGGAATTGTATCACATTGTCCATTTGGGCTTGTTTCCCCTTGCCTAATGTTTCCAAGGTTTATCTATGTTCTGGCATGGATCTATTTCCCTTTCATGGGTGACTGCTACACCACTGTGCAATGCAGACTGCATTTTGTTTATCTGTTCACGTACTGATAGACAAGGTTCTAGCCATCTTTTGCTACTGTGAATAGTGTTTCATGGAAGGCTGGTGTACCAGTATCTGTCTGAATTCCTCAGTTATCCAAGGTATACAGGTAAGAGTGGAATTGCTGACTCGTGGTAATTCTGTTTAGTGTTTCCAGGAATTTCCAGGCTGTTTTCCATGGCAGTGTCACCACTGCACATTCCCAGCTGCCATGTTTGAAGGTTCCACTCTGTGCCTTTTGCTAATTCTTGTTACTTTCCAGTTTAAAACTGTAGCCATTCTAATAGATGTGAAGCAGTATCTCACTGCAGTTTTGATTTACACTTCCCTGGTAACTGATGATGTCTTTCTTGGGGCCTGTGGCTGTTTGTGTATCCTTTTTAAGTTTTATTTTGAGCCAGGATCTCATTAAGTTGCTAAGTTGATCAAGTTGGTTTCAAATTTGACATCCTTCTGCCTCGGTTTTCTAGAGTTCTAGTTCATTTGCCTTCGCTGTTGATGAGTTAGTTGTAGTTCTTTACATATTCTGGATGTGAAATCCTTCCTAGGAATGAGAAGAAATATTTCAAGTCATATACCAAGGAAGGATTTTCATGTCTATTTTTCTTATTTTCCTAAAAATCCTTTGATGTACAAAAGTTGTTTAATATTGATGCAGTATGATTTACCTAGTATTTCCCTGTTACTGTTGCTTGTACTTTTAGGATCATATGTGAGAATCCGTGATCAAAACCCATTCATGTCATTTTGCTTTCAACAAAATACTTATTGACTGCTTACTCTAAACTGGTAATATGCCAGGCACTAAAGAAAAATAGGAAAGATAGGAAAACTCCTGCCCACATAAAAGGAGAAGAAAATACATTAGCTAGTACTAGATATTAACAAGTTGTATGAGAAAAAGAAAATAAATGAAAGACTAATAACAACAAAAGATATGATCAGAGTGATGGAAGGAAGAAAAAGGTACTTAAATGTTCAGAGAGAAAGCTTGTTCCTAAACTCAATGTTTTGATTGTCAGCTGTATTCCTCAAAGGACCAGTTACCTAAGGTTGTTGGATTCACTATTATTTACTGGAAAATCACACATCTAAATCTAGCTTACTTGATCCCAGTGGCAGAATTGAGATTGGTTCCTGGATCTTCTAGCTGCCTTCAAGATTAATCAGCAAAGTGAAGTAGCTTAATAATTTAACACTAGCAGGAAGAAAAGTGAAAGAAAAAATGTAATTCATATTTTTTAATATATCAAATGTATGGACTCTTTGGCAACGATGAGAGGGTAATCAAATGACATATTAACTTGACCAGTATTTTGACAAGCTGCCTTGGAATGCAGGCTCCCAGCATTACTCAAAATCAATAAACAGTTTTTCTAGTTCCTCACAGGGGAAGGCAGCAGGCTCTCCAATTGGTGTCCTGGAAAGGAATGTAGCATGTACATTCCATTCTCCAGACCCAGGACTAGCAGTAGTGGCATTTTTGGGTGGAGAAGGAGAAAAAGCATGTAAATGCTTGGTCTTCAGTAGACTCCCTGATAAATAAGGGAACGGCAGATTGTCTTTTGCAGTCTCTAGTACCGGATGGCAAAACATGGTGGCAGCCCAGTGGACAAGTCGCATTCCACACTTACAAGCCCAGTTCCCAGGATCCTTCTGGACCCCAGATCAAACTGTCCTCCTTGGGAAAGCACCACCCGAAAGCAAACACACCACCACACTCTGTGTTCTCCCACACTGTGGTAGTTTCATTTCTCAGCGCAATCTCAGCTTTTAACAAAGAATTAAAAAAGACTCTTCTCTAGGGAGGTGAGTTGATTTCTGATTCTTCAGAAATTAGCTTTATTTGGCAATATTTTCTCGCTTTTTCAGCAGAAAAAAAAATGTCTCCTTGGGGCTTTGATAAGTGCTAATCACAAATGAACTCCATCACCCCTTCCTCTCCCAAGCAAGGAGTTTAAAGTCTCAAATTCAATTCCCCAATCATCAATGCCAGGAATGTTGTTCCAATCAGAGTATTTTCCATACTCAGCTTCCTGTTTCAGTGGGAGTTTTATTTTGTTTGGTTCGAGCTCTCCTTTATGATCCTCAGCAATTCTGCATCTCTAAATGTAAGAGTCATGTCTTCTTCACATTTTCTTGTGTCATAGCACCCACCATGCCTCCCCAGAGGGTTTGGAATCATTTTTTAATGGCAAAAGCATTTGGTGGATTTTAAAGATGGGTTCATATTTGGCAAAGCTCACTGTGATAAAGTAAGCATGATAAACAATGCTTTGATAAGTGTTCTATGAGGTAGAAGATTGGGAAAAAAGATGTAACATTGCTGTCTTGTAGATTCTGATTCTAATTGTACCATTTAGTAGGGAGATAAATAAAACTGAATAAAATAATTTTCTTTTTAATTTACTATTGAGCAGGTTGATAGTTATAACAAATGTCATAATATGTGGAGTGTCTAAATATCTAACAAGCATGGATAAAGACTTTACATACAAAGTACTTTTATAAAGAACATGTGTAAAATTATATATATATATATATATACATTTATGCATGCAGCATATATACTGTAGTGTATATACTGCAGATATAGATTTAAGTAATATATTTGCACATGTATGGTAGCACTAGGAATCATTTTAACATATATGGAAATATACTTTAAGACAAGTGAGACTGCTTACTTTGATTTGCTTTTGTATTTTAGGAATATTACTCTTAAGGAAATAATAGATTGAAAGTCATTCTTTCCTAATGCAGTTTTTTTTCATATTTGAACAAAAATTAAAAGTCCTATAGTTCTTGGGCTTTCAGTGGTTTCAAATCTACATTTTAACTAGGCAGTTGATACATCAAGCCTGGCTGAAGTCTAGTGTCTAGACTAGGTAGCAGCAGAATCTGTGATATACTTTGATTGTAGTTTAAAAATACAAATGTCAGCAATTTCCAAAAGATAAAATATGAATGAATATAAACAAAAACTTCCTTAGTTATTGTGTTAAAGCAGCTTGTGGAAGTGTGAATATTAAAGACAAAGTTTCCTAAACTCCTTTGCTGATTTAAAATATAAGAAAAAAATTAGGGAAAAGAATAAAGGAGCTGAGAGAGGGCCACCCCACTTTGGTGGCATCTATTTTTCTTGGTTGTCTAATCTGGAGTACGGCTGCCTGGCTCTGACTTCTAACAGCCAAGAGAAGGTCAAATGGACTTTTGAAGACTGAAAACTGCTATCCTTGGAAGACAGATAATGATCACATGCATAAAAGTGGATCTTTCCCTTCAGGCCTTGTAAGAATAATTTTCAAGTCTGAAGATTCATTGGACTAATGAATCTACAACTTTTGAATTTTACTAGTTAATTGGAGGAATGCCATTTTAAAAATTTATTTAAGAGGAGAAAAAGACATTGAAAAGAAAAACAAAAAGCAAAAGAGACAAGCAAATGGCAACAACAATAAACCCAAAATAATAACAGTATAGGTTTTCAAAACAAGATGATAGGAATTTAATAATGGTTGTATAATTGAATATTGTTACCTTCAAAAGAGTTGCTTACATTTCCAGATATAGACATGCAAGATTGATATAATCATATGAGTGTTAGCTGTTCTTTTCCAAGAACTAATACAATTAGTAGTATAGTCATCTTAGCTATCAAATATATATATATGTATATATACATATATATACAAATTTATGTGCCATTTGATCAACAACAGTCAAGTGTTCTAAAATGGAAGACACCTCTCTAAGTTTCTTTGGGCAACGAAAGAAGTAATGTGATTCTTTTAAGGAAAGTAATTGCCTCCAAGGCATCTGTGTTGATTATTGCATTGATAAGCATTTATGAGTGAGTGCTAATACTAATATGATTAATGTTTTCATGAAAATAACTCGACCTCCCATACTGAGGGTTTTATTCTGAGTCTGGTAGACCAGCAGCCAAATGCCTCTAGGTTTTAGAGAAGCATTTGATAGCATTTCCCTGACTGTCACGTGTGTGGGGTTGTGACATGGGAACTAGATGGCAGGACTGCTGGTCACAGTCATAAATGACTGAGGAGCTCCATTGAGCTAGGGCTGATTAATGACTCCTTGTCAGCTTGGTGGGAGGTCTGCAGCAGCAGGACATGAGGATCGTTCCCTGGCCCTGTCCTGTTTGTGATTTTTTATCAGTTCCTTGGGTTGAAAGTGTGTTTATCATATTTTCAGCTGCCACAAAGTCGGGAGGAACTGTTAATGCATCGATGACAGAACCAAGACACAAGGAGGTCAACCAGAAAGTAGATTTCCAGTGAGAGAGAAGGTAGCTTTGCTTTGGGGGCTGGTAATGAGTTCAATGGCTTTAACAAGGGAGAGGTGAGGCTTGTGAAGAAGAGGAAACAAGAGGTATGATAAATATGGATCTTCGGAATGATGAGAATCCTTAAATTAAAATCCAGAGTGTGGGTCTCACGGACTCTGACAACAGTCCTACCTCCCTTTGCCTTTGAATACGTCTGGAGTACTGTGTCTGGATTAGAATCCCATGTTTCTAGAGGTACATAAAAAGACTGGAGATAAATCAGAGGACGATCACCTCAACTGTGAGAGAGAGAAGAAAACCAGCATGTCCTAGACATTCATCCTGAGCCTGGAACTATACTGGGCTGAAACTCGGTATTTGTACTCAGACACCCAGTGGCATGCACATTGCTATCATCAGTTTGTAGATGAGACTGAGATTTGGAACTTTACGATTAATGGCTAGCACAGGGCCACACAGATTTGGGTCCGGGACTGTCAGTTGCCTACACCCAAGCTCTACCTTCTGTTCCTGAGAATCATCCATCCAAATGCAATGCACCAAGGACACAAGCACTGTCTTCATGAGTATCGCATTGTCATATAGAAAAGAAAACAGACTACATATGTGCTCCAGATGTGAGAACTATTGTCTTTAGTGTAATTTCAGAGGGCAGCCCATTTCTGTTAAATTTTGGAAACAAGTTGTAATGAGTTCGAGTTCTCCAACAGGGCAAAGATCTTTTCACATACATTTCGTGTTTTCTTTTACAGAACTTTGAAGCAGAGAAACAGATGGTCATCTTATCATGGGTATATGGAACAGATACTTTACTCTTTCCTATTGAGAGAAAGGTTTAAATTACAGACCTGTGTCATCCCTTAAAATAGTAGAAAACAAAACAAAGCAAAAAAAAAAAAAAAATCAGTGGCTATAAGCCAAGCCCACAAGAAATTCAGTGGTGTTAAGAAAAGCCTAGTTTGGCAACTTCACTGCTTTGGTATATTCTTGCTGTTCAGTGCCATGTAGCAGTCCAGATTGCTGGGGTCTAGTGTCTAGCTGCAGAGTTTGCTAACCTTGTGACTGTGGATCATTTTCCAGAACTTTCCAGCACCAGTCTTCCCATGTGCTGTACAAACATGAAGTGAAACATGCATGTAAAAAATACTCAGCACACTTCCAAGGCTATAGCAATGTTATAGTGAATGTCGGTACCAGTGGCAGTCGGGTGGTGACTAGAATTATGAGAAACTGAGTGACCAGAGATGTTTATCACAGGCTTACCATCTTTTCTCACCTTCTTTTGATTAATGCTTCAGAGTATCCTAGGAAGGACAATACAGGTATTAAATTTTACTGTATTTCAGCTGATTCTGGATACAAAGCAAAAATCAAGAATTCCTTTCTTGGGCATTTTTCTTTCGATATTGTGCTATTGTGTTTTTTAAGTGTCTGTTAAGAATCTCTTACAGTTATGCATGGAGTGTACTAACTTTAACACATCACATTCAAATAGCTTGGAAGTATGTAAAATCCCAAACTAGATGTCCTTCAGCATCCCAGAACAGATGCCCCTCCCTGACACACCTGACACATCCACACATTTTCAAAAGGAAATTTTGTTGAGAACTCACCGGTATCCTTGTCATTGTTTTTATTTCTAGTCCAAACTCAGAACATACGCACTATGATTTCATACATATGCTCCCCAGTTATGGAGATGTTGCCATTTTATATAACACAGAGACAAACATCAGGTAAGTGGTTTGAATGGGCATTCTCTCACCTGAACCTTGCTATCTGAGTCTATTAGGTTTTTATCCTAATAACAGGCTAGTAGAAATCCACCTTCTTAAGTATGGCCTAAAGAATCATGAAAAACACTATGAAATCATAATTGAATTTATTAGTATTAGCCACGGAAGCTTTCACATTGAAATCAGCTTATGAAACACTATATATATATACACACACATATATATACACACACAGACATATCCAAAACTTTTGCCATCCAAGAATGTGTCATATTTATTTACTTTAAAGTGGAAAACAAAGCAAATAACCCTCCTGAATTTTTAAAGAGGCAGTTTAAACATTTTAATATTTTGTGTCTGGAATAAAATGATTTGATAGATACTCAATTTCTAGCTAGTTTAGTCTTTTCCTACATCAACTCATGGTAGAAGTTCAAAACACTGTAATTTGGGGGAATAAATGTTTGTCTTTTTCCATAATGCTTCCACTTTGGGGAGTTGTTTATTTAATAATCAAAATCAGACCATTTTTTTTGCAAGCCTGGCAAGTAGCTACCAGTTTGAGATCCATTCTGATTTGATTAATTGGACCACAGAGAAGACATGGGAAAAGGACTGACTGGATGTTTCTGTTTTTTGGATCTAAACATTTGGGTTTTACAGCTTTATTTTTTTTTTTTTTTGGACTGTCTATACAAGACCACAGTGTTACATGTTTTAAAATCCACTGTTGCATTTAGAACATCTTATGTTTTAATTTTTGGTGCCTTTCGTTCCTGACGAGCAACTGGTTTTAAATTCAGAGCTTACAGGACATGAAATGTGCAAGCCAAGGTTGACAGGACAGTGACAGGTCCTGGGTACGGTCACCGGCCTTTCCATATGTCACAGGATGACATGTGGTCAGGTTACCCAGACTGAGGTTTCCCAGGCAACCGGGTCCTGCTCCATATGGGTTCCTCGGGCAGTTGAAAAGCGATGTTGAAGATGAGCACACTGGAGACATCGCGTCTCTTGGTCATTGTTTGCTTTGTGCTCTCCCCTGTGTTCCCTGCCATGCTGACCCCAGGCTCCAAGGTGGGAAATGCATTCTGCTTCTGGCACTCCAAAAGGTGCTTGGGGGCACACGGAATTTTAAACATTTTAATAGCTTAATGCTTTAAACTATTCACATAATCACATTAGCTACAAGCATGTTAGTTTGTTAAGAAAGAGAGTATGTTCCATAAATATAAGTTAAGGGTTCAGATGGTGCACACAGATTTGGCCAAAAGGAAACACACACACACACACATACACACACACACACACACACACACACACACACACACACACACACTGAGACTGACGCACAAACAATTGGACTTGGTTTGCAAAAGTTCGGTTATACTGATTTCACTACTTAGACTATTTTTCTTATTCCTTAATAACTATAGCAGAAATGATACTGACTACTTTGTTTTTATTCAAATGCACAGTGTGTAACTACCTATATAACTAATCTATCTGGACTATTTTTTTTTAACAAGAAGGAAGAGTTGTGATTCATTAGCTGGAGTGAGAGGCTTATAAAACTGCCTCCTGCCTCCTGTTAAAAGAGCTTAGTCTGGAGTGGGGTGAAGCTTCCTCTTTAATCTCAGCTCCATCATTAGGCATGAAACCTTGAGGAAGTATGCTCAGGCTATCTGACATCTAAGTACCTCAATTTCTTTCTTTGTAAAATAGGTGGAATAGAATAGGATTATTTCAAGGACTTGGAGGCTGATGTGTGTGCAATTGTGTAATGTGTTTCTCAACACAAACTAAGCACCTAATTAATTCTAGTTATTTTTTATTTCTAAGCTGTTATAATTGCACATCCTCCTCCTACTTCACAATGGCTAAAATGTGGAGATGAGTGAGTTTCAGAATGACAGTGCATCATATCTCTAGGGCAAGGCTTCTGAAGTCTTTATAAAGAGACTCTGGGGATACCTCAATTTTTAGGAGTCTCACTTTGTTATTTATGAGATTGCAGGCAATGTCTCTAGTCCTGAGTTTTTTCCAAAGAAAAGCCAACTCATGGTTATGGGCTGGAGACTTGTTTGAAGTTAATCCTAAAATCATTTTGTAGGATCTGTCATTTATGACCTGCTTTTTGCATGTGCTCAGACAGCCAGTGAAGAGAAAGTGAAATCTGCTGAATTAATCCTAAAAATGTACTTATTTCTATCAAAAGATGCAGTAGTGCCATTAATCATTTTAAAAGTGTGCTTACTAGTAATAATATTGGCTATTGTTTTTATATTCTCAGCCATTAAATGGATAGAACACCCAATAAAACACAGTGACAACTGATCTGAGTTTCTCCCATGGCTGTTTGTTCATCCATGCAGGTATCTGTCTCTCTCTCTCTCTCTCTCTCTCTCTCTCTCTGTCTTTCTCTCCCTCTCATGCTAACAACAATGAATGTTACTATAAAAAGAAGGCTACTTGGACTGCTGTACCCAAATGTCTGTAGCCACGGGTCCCTCCCTGCTTTTCTGCTGGTTGCACATTTGGGTTACCTCTAATCTTCTAAAAACAAATTTATTTGTTCACTCATCTTGGTGCCTCTAAGAACTTATGTTCATCACTTAATTTTATTGCAAAAGTGCACAAGGCATGGTGGTTCTTGAAAAAGATGAGGTTTCCAAAGTAATGCAGACTACAAAAAGTAATGTTACATAGAGTGAGAAAGGTCAGACACAGCAACTGGCATGACTCATCTGATATACGGAGTACAAGATAACACAGGCTTACTTTTATTTCTCTTGAGAATAAAACCAACACACAGAACACCTACTCCATCATTTTAAAATAACTTGTTCTGCTTAAACCTTATATGGGTGATTCTCACTCCCTCAAGAGACAGAAGCTCAAATTGAATGTCCCAGTTTACCACAAGAAATACAAATCTCAAACACACTCCCTACCCCTCCACCCCATGTACTACTACAAAATAGATTTCAGAAAAATGTGTAAATGACACTGATGTCATGTATTTGATCAAGGATACTAAACAGTAAACACTGGGTAATGACTGCTAAGATGCTAGGCATTTGCTGTAAGACAAATGTCATGTTATTTATTTCTTTGTCATGTTATTGATAACGCATAGATGAGACATGAACCACTTTCTCCCCATTTTAAAGATGGGGAACACAAGACTTCGAAAGAGAAGCTTGGTCAGATCACAGAGTCAGCATTTGAACACCAAATAGTTTGTTTTAGTCTTGTTTTTATCATTCCTTTCCCATCCTTTCTTCTTCATGTTCTGCAAACTTCCGTTGAGCCTGCTCCGCATGAATCGGGTGCACAATCCTGTCTGGCTGCTCTCCACCTTCTCATTCTTGCCTTGTTGGCAGTTTCAGCCCTAATTCTCAGAGTGTGATTCAGGTCCTAGTTTTGTATCTTCAGCCTCAATTTTTTTTCTCTGAAATTCTCCCATTTTATGGTGTAGCTCAAGAATGGCTCCCTAAGGTCACTGGGGCCTTTGGAAGATAACTAGATTGTGGGGGTGCAATTGCACTTGCTATTAGAAGGTGGGACACAGAAAGGTGTGTATGTCCCGCCCCAGCTCCTTCCTGTAATCTTTGCTCCCTGGTCGCCATGGTGTGAGCAGCTTCCTTTTGCTCAGGAATTTCAACCATAGTGTTCCTGCCTTGGAACTGGCTGACCGTGCCTGGACTGGGACCACTGAAACCGTGAGCCGAAATGAACATGTCCTCCCTTAACTGTAGGTGTCAGGTAGTGTGTCCTAGCACTGAGAAAGTGGCTAAAGCCACCGGTCAGTCTCAACAAGGAAACTAAGTCTTCAAAGGAAGTCTTCAACCTAAGTCTTCAAACTAAGTCTTCAAAGGAAACTAAAGACCAACATTTTAGAAGCTTAGTTCTTTGTACTTAATCACCTATCCTATCCTAAACTTGCCACTCTTTTCGGCCGTTACCTACTGAATTTTACCTCGTTCCTCTATCTGTATAAGGCAGAAACAGGCTCATCCTTGGCATCCAAGCGTTTCCCTGGTCCCTGGAGTTTTGATAGCCTTCTCCAGCATTCATTCCATGTCTCTAGTCTCCACCTGGCCCTGCCTGGTCTCCAGCTGACCTGGACAACCTGCAGTGCCCTCCTGGATATAGTCTCCATCCATGTGGACTTCCAATCTAGTCCCTACCCATCAACCAAAATGGAATTTCTCCTAGTTCCAGGCTGCATAGACTGTTCCTGCCCCTGTCTTTAAGCACTTCAGCAGATGCCCATGGTTCTTGCAACCAGTACAGAGCCAAGTGTTTAACATGGCTCCGCATATCTGTTACTTGTCTTCTTTTAGAATTATGTTCTTTGCATTTCTGCCACCCTGATCTTTGGTCAGTTCTTTGTGCTGCCTGAACTCAGATGTGAGACTTTGGCATGTGCTCTTTTCTTTTGTCTGAAAGCCACCTACCCTCCAGATTTTACTGTCTTAATTTCTGTGCTCAATTTATCTCTTAACACAGGTACTATTCTGTTTATGAAGGTTAACCTTTTGTACCAAATCACTTCTTTTGTTATTATGTTAAGAAACTTTGTATATTTTATACCGAGTACTTTAAATAATCAGTGCTCATACTCTTATTTGTGTATTTATTTTATTAATATCAGTTCTTTTGAAAAGAACATAAGCTCGTAAGAACATGTTTCTTTTTATTTGCTACCGCACCCTCCTATGCCTAGCGTGCAGCCTAGTACATCATAGTAATTCAATAAATATTTGAACAAATACATCATAAGGCATGATAGGATTATATATAATTAAGCAAATTCATTTGTGTCCTAGTTATTTGTGGGAGAAAATAAACAATCTTTTTTCTCTAGAACAGAGATTCTCAAGTTTTGACAGTGATCAAAATTACTCTTTAAGAATACTGGTCCCCTATCCTTAGTTTTGAATTCAGTAGGTGATGGTGTTTTCAAAATTTGTATTTCCCCTGAGTTTCATGGCGATGTGGATGCTCGACACCAGGAACCACATCTCAAGAGCTACTATACTACTCCACATTCTTTTGTTGAAGTCGGCTTTTAGAGCTGTGTTCCAGCCATTTTTTGAGAAGTCATCATTTCCTCATTGACTGTAGCAGTACAGCCTTGGTTGCCACAGGAATGAGCAGTTTTATTTTTTCCTAACAGCTCTGGGAAAAGCTTCAATATTTCAACAGTTGTGACGAACATCATTCAGGGATTCCATGTCCAGTAGTAATTTGCCTACTAGCAAGGGCAAGTACCTGCACCTAAAAATGTAAGAGGGATGGGAGGATGGGAAGACTTGGGTTTCAAACATCTTTCACCAAGGAATTAATTTTAAAGGGTCACACAATACACCATGAACTGCCACCATTATTCAAGACAGATTTACTCTCTGACATCGGCACCATGCCAGCTTGAAGCCAGGTGAATTCCCTTGGATCAGAGTCAAGGGCCCTGCAGCCACCTACAGAGCACTCAAGGAGGATCCCTAATGTCCCTCGCCTCTGTCTGCCCCGCTTGATTACTATTTCAGGTGCCACCTAAGGACCCCAGCTGGCTGGCCCGGGTCCAGCAGCCCAGGCGTGGCCCTCACATCACGTCTCAGCTGCAAGGAGGACCAGTAGGGGTTCTGGGAGGAGGGAGGAGCATTGAACTTGCTCGTTTGAGTGGAGCTCACCTCAGACAGGGACTGTTGACTCAAGAAGATGGTGTTTACAGCTTGTCATCCCTGGATTGTGCTTTCAGAAAGAAAGAGAAGGGCCAAACAATCAAAGCTGAGATCCATGTTTTAATAGACAATTAAAAAAACAGGACCTTTTCTGGAGGAGGTGGGTGGAGCAGGAAGAGATCAATGGTACCAGAGAGGGGCATTCATGACACGTCCCAGAAGCAGCTGAGCTGGCTGGTTTGAGGCGAGGGTCACAAAGTGATGCCCAAATGCAACTCAGAGGACAGGCAGGGGCCATGCTGTTTGCCTGAAAGGTACGTATTTGGGGATATAATGTCTATTGAATAGAAGGTAGATTTCTGCATGTATGTTAAATATTTGTTTTGTTTTATTCTCTTTAAAATAAAAAAAAGGACTGAGAGAGATAGCCATGTAAATGTTCCTCACAAATATTCAGCTACAGGAAGAGCAGAATGGCAGCGGGCACAGGGCCCAGAGCTGGGTACTGAGTTTTACTCCTGTATCTGTATCCAGACCCCACTTCCTATGGGCTGTTCCCAGCCCATGAGTGAGTGTAAGAGGACACAGATTCCTCTGATGACTGAGGCTTTTCCAGTGGTTTCCAGAACCTTCTTTAGACTGCACACAAGTCCAAGTCTGTGGTTCCACTCAACCACCCTTCCCTGTCCCCTTCATTTTGGGATCACATGCACATCATGGACTTAGGGATACCCCACCTTCTCAGCTCCCACCCCATCTCTTGTTGTAGTTATATCCCTTAAGATCCTCACACATTTACTCTTTCTTAGGTGAGTATGGTGAAAGAGAGAGCACAGGCGTTCTTTACTTGTATAGAGAAATAAAAATGTGTACTGAAACGTGTACTGAAAAGAAGTGTGCACTGAGAGCCTCAGAAATCCTCTCATCATTTGGTCCAGGTTCTTATCAACATTACCTGCCAGAATGCTCTCTCTTTTTCATGCCATTCCTTAGCACCACCCCCCCAACTCCACCCCCAATATTATTCTCCTGCATTGGGACTTTAGGAAAGCTTTGTTGTCCCTGAGAAGTAGTTTAGGCTTCAAGATCCCAACAGTCATGGCCCCTTTTCAGCCTTCTCTTCGTGTCTCTCACCTCAAGTGACAACCTAGCATGTTCAAAGCTATCAGCCATAGCAAGGGCATTCTTAGGAGCCCAGCCTGAAAGCCTACTATGCAAACATTCTTTGTTTAACACTTGGGTTCAGTTCCTGTTAACTGAACTGGTCACCAAATGAGTAATTGTATATAATATATGCATTAAAATATTCAAAACAAAGAAATAGTCAAAAGAAACTTCCACTGGATGACTTTGTTCTTATTTGCATGGCTCTTATATGC